AACGCGTGTAATCTGATTACTTTTTTCAAGTAACCAGTAAAGTTCCTATAATCCTATAATCCTATAATTTATAATCTTTATAATCTTTATAATCTCTTCTGCTATTTGCACATTCTTTACTGTAAATTCCTAAGTTAATTTGTAAATTTTGTAGTAAATTGTAAATATTGTAAAACTTTTCTTCTGTCATTTAATGGTCGGGCATTGTACAGCTACAAGCATTTCACCCCCATGTCATACTGTGTATGGTTGTGTGTGTGACAAATAAAATTTGAATTTGAAGTAAGGGATTATTATTGCAAAAAAGTAATTAGATTACTGTTACTTTCCTGTAAGCACGCTGCGTCACTGCATTACTAAACCGTGATTTTGTTTGGGAGAGTGTCTCATGACAATGACGTGTGAGCGTGCAACAGTAATGGTCATGTTCGGATCAACAATGGATAATTGATCATTGATAAGTGCGGGAGACAGTATGACCGTGCAGCGTTTAAAGAGTGGAAGTACTCACATTACTTGAGTTCTTTAAAAAGTGACAAAACATTAGCGTCCACTGTGCAGTCAGAGACTGTTGCATATAACTTATTTTTGCTTGATGCAATGAGCATAAAGTTAAAACATTAAAACTCATAAAACAAGTTTTATAAAGAGATTTTTTAATTTAATTACATTTTATATGATGAAATATGCAGAAAAAATAGAATTGGGCTGAAAGGTCTACTGCTTCATTACGTACTCGGGTTGTGCATCCTGTTTTTAAAAAGTAACTAAGTAATAAAGTAACTAATTACTTTTGAAAATAAGTAATCAGTAAAGTGACAGGATTACTTTTTTGGAGAAGTAATCAGTAATGAGTAACTAATTACGATTTTCAAGTAACTTGACCAACACTGCTCCTGAACCATCTTTGCTTTGTGGCAGGGCGCGTTAAACTGCTGCAAGAGACCACAGCCGTCAAGGTGTGCGGTTACCATGACAGCGTGTACATGGTCTGCAACAAAGCTCAGCTGGTGATACGTGCCAAAGAAAGATCCATATGGATGGCAGGACCCAAGGTTTCAGAGCACAAACATTCCCTGATGCTGCCTCGCCTCCTTCCCATAGTGCCTCCTGGTGGCAGGTGTTTCCCAGGTAAGCGGCGCACAAGCACCTGACCAATCGCGTGATGTAATGGAAAACGTGAGTCATCAGACTAAGGCACCGCCTACTGTTGCTCCGTAATCCAGTTCTGATGCCCACGTGACCATTTCTCATACTTCCACACTGTGATGTTCTGAGTCTTCTCTGTGGATCCTCAGACACTCATGACCTGGTCACTGGCTCACCACTCGTTCCTTCCTTGGACCACTCTGCCCGCCCCACAGGTGCTGCAGGTTTTCGATGCTCTGACCCATCTATCCATCACAGTTTGGTCAAATCGCTCAGATCCTCACACTTTTCCTCACCTGCTCCCCAATGTCTCCCACCCACTAACAGGTGCTATGATGAAGAGATAAATTATGTATTCACTTCCCCTATCAGTGCTCATTATGTCACGCCTGATCCGTGCGTATTTAATGCAGATTTAGAACAAGGGCATAAACTCATCGTCAGCCTTGTAACATATAAATAAAAGTACATTATCTTGAAATGTGTGCGTAACCTTCTCCGTGCTCCATTCACCTTTTTACAAATGTTTGCAGTGCAGATGAAAAGTAATTGAGTCCAGCGATCCTCAGGCTGAGGGAGCAGAGGACTTCCTGTTTCCCTTTGAAATGTTTTTTACTCAATAACTGTCAGATTTACCTGAAAGTCCGATTTTTCTCAAACTGCCTGAAGCCAAGTGTATAGAAACCTTAAAAAAACCTCCTATATTTACACTTTTCTATTGTTAACTTACTGCTCCATGACATTGTGTTTTTTGGGAGACACATGCATTTCAGATAAACTTTGTTTTAAAAGAGAGATGAACTAACCATCAGCACGAATCCTGCGGGGAATCAGCTTTTGTTGTCGAACTAAAGTTTAATTACACATTTTGTTGGGATTTTTAACATTTCTGAAACAATGCGTCATAAAATGAAAAAGGAGGCCTCAGTCACACTCAGTCTCTCGTGGAAACTTCACCAAAAAGTTGGGTGGTTGTTGGCAGTTAGCGGCTGTCGCTAGCAGAAATAGGTTAAAAGAGGGTGATGCATCAAATGCATGCTTGTGATTGCTTTGGTTGCTAGCAGATTGCTGCGGTTGCATTAGCTTGCATGAAAGATGGCAACTTGTCTGCAAGTACAAGCCTACTATTTTTGCAGGACTCACTGACTGGACACAGGTGCCAACAACCTCCAGTTACCGGTTGAAAAATACTCTTTCCCCTGGCAGCCGGTGGTTGCAGCTGCCAACACGCAGCAGTCTACAGCCCGGCTCAGGGCTTGTGTGATCGGAGCTTGCAGAAAAAGGCACGTCATTAACTGTATCTGTAATTCCAGTTTAAAAACTGTGGATATTTCCCATAAAATCAATGGACAGTTAGCTACTGGTACACTGGCAAAAGTTAATGCTCATTCTTATCAAGACTATTATTAAAAATTATACTGAAATATGAACATGTGTTGCTAGTGAAGGAAATTAGCCAGGACTTTGCCTTTGTTTCAGGATTTCTAATTCAGCTTGTGGAGTTGCTTGCGTGTCAGGGAGGATCCAATGACCACTGCACTGATTTAAACAACGCCTTTTTATTTTGGCATCTTTGAAAACTACTCCATGAACGGCAGTTTCAGATTCAAAATGAAGAAAAATATAAATACTCAGGATGGATGTTGACCTCAGTGCGTAGCCAGAGACAGAAGTACAGAGCGCACAGCATAAACACAGGGCTGGAAGAACTGCTTCCAGAGCAACACCGCCCGGTCAATCACAGAGATCGATCAGCAACAGCCCGCTGGATGAGATGAGCGATGGCTAATGAGTAATTATTTACTTTCTTAAGTCCTTTTACTGTGAGTTAACAACACCAGCTGCTGTTCCTTTCTTTTTCTTTTTGGGTATGCCCGATCAAAACACTTCTCCTCAGCCCTGTGCGACATCCTGGTCTCTGCTTTCTGTTTCTTTGTACTTCTCTGAGCGTCGTTCAGTACGTTCTGTGGAGCAGAAGAACCAAAACAAAACAAAAGCTCACTCGTAGTTGCACAGATTTACACACGGCACACTTTGAGAGAATGCAAAGACCTCGGGCCCAACAGAACGACAACAACAACGGCAACAAAACCAAATGAAAGGCAGGTCTGTGTGTGAGTGGAACATCTGAGCTCAGCAGGAGAGACGGGCGTAGGAAGGAGAAGGCAGAAAAACAAAACCAGCTTGTTCTCCACAGGCGAACATTGTATACATTTCTGTACATGCTAACTCAGTGGACATCCTCTAACACTGTTATTTTTTTTTGCCCTTTTTGGTATAAAAACACATACTGATGTACAATATAAAAAGAGATTTTCCTTTTTGTAAAAGAGCAGTGTTTCTCTTCTGTCAGTGTGAATCATCTAATGCTGCAGCGACAAGGTTACATTATTTACATATACAACCGTATAAAAAAGAAGAATTCCTCCTGTGTACATGTAGTCAAAAAACAAATACATCAGTTAGGTTCAGTTTTAGTGGTGAAATATTTGTGAAGGTCCTTTAATATACAGCAACCGAGAAGCTGGAGACAGCAGGAAGGTTGGTACACCCGACTCTGGAAAAGGATGTGACACACGCAACAACTGAGACATGAATAAAGTAAATGCTGCGCACTACTGTGACTGCGTTTAATAGGAAATGTCGAGTTCCTTTTCGGTGCATCGATGAAAGATCTTCACAACTTTGCACTTCCAGTTATTGCATCTTAAAATGTGCTTTAAGATGTAAAATGCCTCGATTTCTGCCACATTTACACATCACAGGTGAGCGATGTTTTCATACCACCGGCCGGCTGCCCGACCCAAACGGAAACAGAAACCGAGGGGGAACTCAACGCATCGTCAGTGAATGCTTTTGCTGATGTATTACTACAGCCTTGCAGATATGGTAATTAGGCAACCTTCCATACTTGCTGCCGCAGATTTAGTTCTGCAGCCAGACGTCAGCCAGACAATATTGATACTGCACAGTTCTGCAAGACTTGGTGGAAAACACTTTGTTAAATTGAAGATATTCTCGATAGCTTTCGACAATATCTGTGCAGTATCGTAGGATGGTTTTGGGAATTTCCTTCTGATCTCAAAACACTACACTGAACTGACAATGTCAAGACACAAAGACCGAGTGATACACATGAGATGTCCTTTGGTGCCAGCGGCAAAAGTGAGGCTGGTCTAACCCACAGACAGTATAAAAGATTGGCACACCAACTGGATCTGAAAAGCAAAGTCACCCCAGAAATAGGGCTGTGCGATATGACCAAAATCTCATATCCCGATATAAGACATCTATCGTCGATATAAATCACAAAAATGTAACATTTTCTGAAAATTCTGTGAATCTCGGGCAGCTCGTCTTGCGTGAAGTGTTTCCAGCTGCGCGTCATGTAGCTGGAGTCGAGTGTTTTAACCGATGCATGAAACGATACATTTTTAGACATAAGTTGTAACGGTCGCCGTTTTCTTTGTGAGTATTTATTACACGGCGTACTTCGGGGAAAAGCCTGTTCTAACGTTTGAGTCTAAGGTTTATTTTTTAGCTCCTGACGGCTCTTTTTTACTTCTCATCCGTAAATACTCTGCATCTTTCACGTGATTCAGTTTATTTTGAAAAGTCTCAACAGGATCTTGAGCTTTATTGTGAAAGGTTTATGTGTCGTTGTTGCTAACGACAACGCATAAAAACAGGCGCTTGTCCGTCCGTAGTGTGGTTATATAAAATATAAGAGAAAGAGAAAACTTTATTAATAATAACTACAGTGACCATCAAAACCATGAAAAAATATCGCCGTAAACAGCTTATTTTGCAACACCACGAAACAAACGATAGCGTAAAATGAAACAATGTTTTTATATTGTCATCCGATATATATCGTTATATCGAACAGCCCTACCCAGAAATGCCTGAAACCTGCATTGCTTTTAATGGCCACCAGGGGGCGATACTTCTAGAACAACAAGATGGTGAAAACAATCAAATAAAGCTTCACAGGCTTCACTAACCACTGGGCAGTCATGAAGGTTCAATTCACCTTTCATACTGTTTTTAGTCTTAATTTTGATGCCAACCATAAAAATTAAAAATAAATTTAGATTCTGGTTGATCATCGCCTCCAAGATCGTCCTCTGAAAATCCGCATGAGCATTTGGATGGATGACATTTGATGACCTTCCTGCAGCTTTAATGATGAGTTTTGACAACCATTAGAATAGATCCAAGCTACTCTTTCCAAGGGTAGCTGCTAAACCAAACACCCCTTTGTGTATTTCTCTTGGACGCCAGCACTTGTGACAAAATGGCAGTACGTGACTGGGTATTTTTGAGCTAGTGGTTCAAGATAAGCAGTGGAAATCAAAGACACTGGCAAATTAAACTCCAAAGGATCACGTTACACATTTAACCTCAGATTTTGAGCATGCAAAGCAACAAGAACTTAAAGTGATACTTGAAAAAAACAAAGCCGGCACTTCCTTTTGCAGAGTCAGGTGTTGACAGCAGGGGGCGCTACAGTCAAATATGGAACAAAGGTCTTTGCATTCGCACACAGGGAAAGATTTGTGATGAAACACAACTGAAATCAGAGATCATAATACTCACTGATGCCAAAGAAAGTCTGGGTGATGTGCTTTTTCTTGCCACAAGTGCATCGACGTAAGGCACAGGCACAGTTCCCCTCTTTCAACAGAGTGGCTCGCTTTAGGTTTTTTTGTGTATTTTTTTTTTAAATCTTTTTTTGTCCTTTTTAAAAAAATGTCCCAGTGCAAGAAACAAGTAGGGTGACCACCGGCGAGGTTCGAGCAGCTCACGTTGGATGTTTGTGTTTTTATATGCGAGGTTTGGAAATATCAAAGCTGTTGCTGTTTTTCGTCATTTTCTTCAGTGTTAGGACGACAGGAGGGAAGCCGATGCTCTCTTTTCAGGGGTCAGAATTTATGCAGGCAACAACAACAGTTAGCATACAATCAATACATGAGATTAAATAAAATATCCACAGAATTCAAAGTTAACACAGTTTGCTTTAAATGTTTAAAGATTTCGAACAGATCAATGCTTCAGCCTCTGGTGCCTTGTTCATGTCATATCACGAGGAATACAAGAGTTAAGATTAAAAGATTAGGCCGACAAAGTGAGTCTAGACTGGAGATCTGAACCAGAGACCTTCTAACACAATCTAAAACTGCAACTCTCCAACGTTAATGGGGCACGTTCAAGTGATCGTCCGGAGTGAAATGGGACCCTGTGGGAGAGAACAGGAATAAAAAGATCAGAATTCCAACTTTAGAGAACAAAAGTTGGAATTTTGATCATTTTTCTTGTGACAGTTTTAAATTTGCTTTACCTTATAACACAAAGCACTTATAGGTGACTCTTATTGTGGTTTGGTGCTATATAAATAAAAGCCACCCCCAACCACCACACCCATGTGGAAAACATGAACGTTCCTGATGTGGTTTCATTATGCTTTGAATGTTAAGGGAATGATTTCCGTCAGAAAAACGTAACCACGGGATCAGCGTGCTATGGCTTTACCGTTCAGGATCACCTCATACAAGCATGAAGCCACCACACTAACATGTTCTTCCACTTGAAACATCGCTCTTTGACATATTTTAGGATGTCCAGATGCACAATTATTTTAACTGTTTAGCTCCATTCCCTTCAACTGAAATTTGATAATAATTCCTCTTTTTTGGCTCGCTTAGATTGACTCTGATTTTTACACAGACACTGACGGAGACTAGTGTAACTACACTGGCAGTTGATGGTTGCTGGACTGCAGGTGACCATATTGTGGCGTACTTTCTAGACTCGCTGATCTGATGGTAAAGTTAACTACATTGAAGAGAAAGTAACTTCAGGGTCCCGAGAAAAACTCAGAATTCTGAGATAATAAACGGGATGTGAAGGAATCCCTTCACATCCCGTTGAAGGATAAAACTTTAGATATTTAATAAAAATTCTGCAAATTCAAAGAATATGAAAAGATTTGCTTTAGAAGAAAACAAACTGAGCACTTTGCAGAACATGCAGTTTGTTTCTTTGAAGCCAAATATTTTTTGGAAACGAACAGAAGCCCAGCTGAGTAAAGGAAATATGATATGAACATGGCTTCACAGTCTGATAAGCATAGCAACTTGCACACGGTCTTACTGTCACAATTTAGCATCAACATATCCCCACAAAATCAAACAAACTCTTAAAGGAACTGTGACAGAGGCACGCTGTAAATGCTGTTTGCTTAAAATTGAACTTAAAAAGTTTTGAAAGTCTTTGCGTTCGTTTTATGTCCTGATCGAACTCTAGGAACATTCGCCATCAGTAGTTCTCAAACTTTCTTTCAAAGGCTGAAAAATGTTAGGATCCCACAGTTGTTGGATGCATATACGTGTATTTGTTTTATATCAAACATCAAAAATAAAGAGAGGATCCAAGTGGAATCTTTGTGAAACAAAGGTCTTTCCAGGCCGTCCTTCCCTTCAAAAATCATTTCTCTAAATTAGCGCCCACCCTCTAGTTTGAGAACCACTGGTGTGAAGTTTAAAACCTCAACTGAAGCAAGTTACAGGGAAGGAAAGAGAAGATGGAGGCAGAGGAAAAAAAGGAGGTGATCACCCTAGTGATTCTCGTACTGAAATGCTCTTGACAGAGAAAGGGAACACGTCAGCGTCTCTTTCAGTAACTCTCTGGAGATCCTCCTTTTAGTTTCTACCAGGAGGCTTCTACAAGCAAACAATGTGTGTGTGTGTGTGTCTGTGTGTGTGTACCATGTGCGTATGACTGTTAGGATCACACAGATATATTACAAATACTGGCCATTTGCTAAATAGAGTCAGTTTATTCCCAATGTGACGGAGACCTCAGCTGTATTAAAAAACGTTTTCTTTGTTTCTTTTTGTTCTTGTAATGATCTCTATGTGTGAAGAGCTTAGCGGAGACTTTTAGGTTCTCATGATGATCGACTTCAACTCAGGAAATTAAGGGAAAGAAAAAGGTTGCATTAAACTGGAACATGTCAGGAGCTTAAAACATATCATTTGGGCCTAAACATCAGTCTGTGATTGTAAAGTGTTTCCATCAGTGTGTCTGTGTAAGTACAGTATCTATGATTGTTTGTCCATCAGCTCTGGCAGTCTTTGTATTTCTGTACGTGTTATCTGTGAATCAGTCCTAAAGGCAGGCGATATGTGTACATTTGTCTGTTTAGCCCGTCTCTCTTTCAGGATGCGTTTATTTATTTTTGTACGTATGAGTCCTAGAGGCAGACGTTGTTGCTGATCTGGCAGGTGGATCCGGTGCCAGCCTGGGACAGGAAGAGCCTCCCGTTGGGGCAAACGCAAACCTCGTAGACAGTCTGCCTGGTCCCAGAGGACGAGGAGCTGGTGGAGGCCTTCCCCTCCGGCAGCTGCAACAGCCGAATCCTCTGAGCATCCAGCGAGATCTGCCGTAGAGGGAGAAGAGCAAACTGGTGAGATTAGGGAAAGTAAAGAAGAGAAATGAAATGGGTAGAGATGTAGAAACAAAGCATGAAAAGCAGATGGTTGAAAAGTCTGGAAAAGACTGCTGCAAAAATTAGCTTTCTTGCATCCACATGTTGAGGTACATAGTGCTGAAATTTGAAATTATAGGTTGGTGAGGTGGCAGAGTTCAGCTCAGCACAGTCCCCATCACAGCGAAAAGGTTCTGGATTTTGGATTTTGGACTGTTGAAGCCCAGAGAGAAATCATGCAGGCACACGGAGAACATGCAGAAACGTGCATGTCAGAATAACCAGTTACTCTAAATCGGTCAGCTGTGATAGTCGGCAGCAGGCTCTGTATGTTAGACCTGCGATAGATGTCACAGCTGGTATAGATTCAACACCCCCCCCCCCCCCCCCCCCCCCCCCCCCCCCAAACTACCTTCAGTTAGATTAGTAGTTAAGAAGAAAGATGGATTTATGGACACATCGGTGCAAAGACCCATATTAGTTAGCTAACCCAGTTAGCTGAATTAGCTTTGTTTTTGTGTTTGTGAAAGATATCACAACTGTTTTTATGAATGTAAAGCATAATAAATAAAAAGCAAGGTGACTAAATGCTGCCCTGGTAAATTAAGGTATTAATATTTTATTAAGACACAATGCAGTTAACTGTTGGTTCTGAGATGTCACACAGTCACCCACCACTCGCTGAAGCTAGCTGTGACTGAAAGTTGTAAAACAGCAATGGGAATGCTAGCCTTGCTAACCAGGACTGTTCTGTAGAGCTAAATAAAGACTGGCTGTATCGTGGTTGTGTCGGGAAACTCCAAGCGTACGTACATACTCGTGAGCAAAGAAGGCTACTTCTGCTAGCACAGCTAATGTTAGCTGCATTAAGTAAACATGCTATTCGTGGGGAGAAATTGTCCATTTCATTATTCTCAGACTATTTTCTGAGTGTTTTCTTACTCAATGACTCAATATTCTGATTTCTTCCTCCCGCTTAATCAAATATTAATCAGTTGCCAGGAGCATCCACACTAAACAGAGATAAGAGTCTTAGTTGTCTCAGAGAGACGTCGGCGGGGGTGGAGGTTCAGCTGCCTTTCTGCTTTGCACTTAATTTGGCTGACTTTTTATTTTCATCTTCTCCTGATTGTTAGACGTAGGCACTACAGACTGTGTTTGCGTTTAAGAAACAGGTTTTTGGGGTTAAAACGGGTCACAGCAGTAACCCTGCTCGTTGGTAAATGATGACTCAGGAGTGACAGACTAACCTGATGCATCAGTGCAGTGACACCTTATTCAATTTAGATTCAATTCACTTTTATTTACACAGTGCCAAATCCCACAGTTATCACCTCAAGGTGCTTTATATTGTAAGGTAAAGACTCTACAATGACACAGAGAAAACCCCAACAACCAAACAACCCCTCTGAGTAAGCACTTGGTGACAGTGGGAAGGAAAAACTCCCTTTTAACAGGAAGAAACAGAACCAGGCTCAGGGAAACACGGACCTCTGCTGTGACTTATTGTGGGTTAGAGAAGGAAGAATTCTGACACTAATTTCCACCCGAGTTCCTGGGATGTAATTCCTGCTTGTTTTCTTAATTTTCATTTTCGTGTCAATGATACTTGGCATTTTCACTGCTTTAGTTGCTGGTTTTCATTTTAACCTGAATAATCTTCTACTTATTTTATGGACTCAACTCATCAGTCATAGTTTATCATCTTTACTCTCTGAAACAGAAACTGTCTCCCGTTTCAAGGGAGAAAGAAACCAGATAATTCATCCTATAAATTAAAAAGTTGCACTGATGCAAACTCATTAACATAATTTGCATAATGTTATGAGCACAATCAACTTGCTGAGATTTTCTCACTTGTATGATTGAGGATGGATGAGTGAAAAATAGGTGTAAATCTTATACATATACGTTGTTGGTATTTACCAACAACAAGAACCTTTGTGATCATCTGACCTGCAGACACGCAGAACTGTTTTCTAAACCTCTTAAACTCTGTTTCCAGCTTTTCTCAGCTTTGACAAATTTACTTTTACTCTTCATCTTTATCTTTTCTCCTCCTTCAGGGATTAAAACTGATGACATTTTGGTAAAAGGCATGGCTCTGCAGTATCCTGTAGGACAACACCGCCTCAATCTAGAGAGATTTCTGCACAGATGATGCCAGGCAGGAGCAATCTCAGTGACTTTTATCATAAATATGACTCTACTGTGCAGCGATGCTGTTAACTTCAAATCCAACACATGACCTTTACAATTCATTCCACTCATGTCCACTGAAAGGGCTGGAAAACACTGGGAAATGTGGGAGGAAAAATCTCAAGTCAGAAAAACTGGATAGATGCTGCAGTTGAGTATCCAGGTCACTTAACATTCTATGCAACCAACGAAGGGGAGAGCGAAGGTGTCAGGAGTTTCAGACACTATTTATGTGAGTCAGAAGTCCTGAGAAGGAAAATAAAAGCCAAGGAGAACGAGTGAATGATTTACTTTGAGGGCAGCTAAGAGTGACAAGAGAAGAAGAGCGATTCAGTTTAGCTGAGGACTGGCTGAGTTCAGGAGAGAAGAGAAAGACTTCTTGGTGACCAAATGTAGTTGTGATTAACATGCTAAACATAGCAAATACAGTACAGTGTTGTAGTCTTATACCACCCATCATTTCTTTCTATTTTGCTAGGAAAATTGGAAATAGGTGCAGAGATTTATTAAAACCTGCAAAGATACATCGAAATACAGCATATAAGGCAAAACACAGCATTTGTAAAGTATTTGGACTGACCACCTTAATTCCTCAGCACAGCCTGAGCTCTTTGGGGAAGCCTTCTGAAATTTAGTCCTCAGGAATACTTCTCCAGTCTTCTAGAAGCGCATTGAAAGCTTTTCTTTGGATATTGGCTGCCTTTTGCTCTGTTCTGTCAAGATGATCTTGGACATCTGTCAGATTTTCATACCTCATCCTTTTCTCCCTGTTTCCCATCCTTAAGATTGGCTTCTTGGTCTATTCTAAAGGAAGCCACTTCCATTTGATGATGCTTTGAAAAAAATTGTAGATTGCTCAACTGAAGGACCAGATACATCCTGTGTCAGGGCCTTTTTTAAGGAAATCACTTTCAGATTCTCCTTGTCTGCTGTAAATAGTTTTTAGACTTCTTCTGATCTCCACTTGTCCAGTTTCCTCAATTTTTTAAGGACACACTACATATCTCGGCATTGTGTGCGGTGTTTGTGACTAATAGCTCCTTGGGAATTACATTGTTGTTGCAAAAATATCAGCTAAAGAAATGGGAAAAATGTGTTTAGCAACAGACTGCTAGTAAAAAGTTCTTGAAGATATTGAAGAATTCAACAAACATCAGCAGACAACAAAAGAAAATTCCTCAGAAAATGGTCAGGTACAAGGACTGGACTGAAGGAAATGACTGAAAAAGCAGCAAATGGTAAAAGAAAACATTTGAAAGACCTTCAGAAACCCTGGAGAACTACTGAACAAGAGCATTAAACACTGTCTGGCTTCTTGGCCATTAGGTCCATCTAGGAGGTTTGAAATTTGGAAAACTAAAAACTGTGCACTTATTAGGAAACCACACTGTGCTTTGGACCAATCAAACCTGAAGGTAAAACTAGAAGTTGTTTAACTGGTTGCCTATGATCATATTTCTCCTCAGCACTTAGACTTCACTGTAAACTAAATTGCCCTCTACAGCAGGTGTTTTGTTTGAGGAGGCCCCAAATCCAGATGAACAGAGTTTTATTTTGGGATATTTTTAAGTATTTTGTTGGCAGAGAGTCCCAAACAGGGTAAATAAAAAGCAAAAAAGCCCTCTACAAGTTTACAGTTGGCTCATTCAAAAGTTATTCCTCTCGTCTCCTGAGCAATAAAAGGAGAGCAAAACCTAAGAAAAGTTGTTCTGCAAGCCGCTCCATAAACACATTAACCCATAACTCATTTTATTCCCCTCATTGATTGGAACAAACCATCTCTCTCGGTCTGCACAGCCACAAACCACCGCTGCATGAATCCCCTCCTCCCCCCATCCTCCCGTCCTCCCGGGGCTCGTATGAGGCTGGTGTTGCACCGGCTGCGGACAGGAGGAGCTCTCCAGCCATAAAAAGGTAAAGGAGCCATTACGGTGCACCTCGGGGAGGCATCGCCATCAAATGACCTGGAACACTTTTAAAGCAGAGTCTCAGCTGACTTCCTCAGACAGCTGCTGTTGAACAAATCTTTCACCACGAGGGGCAGACGGTGTGAGACACTCCAGAACCTGTGTGTAAATGTGTGTGTGGGCGGCGGGATAAATTCGTGTGTCTGTGTGCTTGTGATGGGCAACAGTACAAACAGGTTGGGCAGGTAAAGGTGAGGTGAGGTCAAGGTATCAGTTCGGTTTTATTTCATGTCTCCAGAGGTTTTCTGTTGCTTCCTGCAGCTTGGAGGGAAAAGACTCCCGTAGGAATGCAAATGTTCTCTGCATGAGCTATATTATCACTTACCCTTTTTCCCCGATGCTGACTTCTGTGGCTTTTTTAGCCCTCAACACACCACATATTACTTCCATTTAGCAGGGTGGAACGACCACCCTGCACATGGTGATAGGTACCTGCTGTTAGGAGGAAGACATCACCTAATGGCTAAGCTAATATTTCTTTAATGGTTGTTATCAGTCCTGTATAATGCATACATCTGCAGTTTTTATTATCTTTGTCTGATGTGCATATTTGTGAAGATATGATGGTAAATCCATTCAACTGAGCCACGCACTATATGAGCAAAAACATCGGGCCACATCTACACTAGCTTTTCCAAAAGCCGTGCCCCTACTGCAGCTTCCACTCTTCTGTGAAGAATTTCTACATGATTTTGAAGCGTGCTTGTGGGAATTTTTGTCAGTTTATCCAGAAAAGCTTTTGTGAGGTCAGACACTGGATGTTGTATGTGGAGCCCAGGCTTGCCATTTCCATTGTAGTTCATCCCAAAAGTGGTTGATGGGTTTGAAGTCAGGGCTCTACACGTTTTTCCACACCAAAATCATCCAGCCATGCTTTTACGGACCTTGATGTGGCATCCTATTACAGTACCATGCACGAATTCATTGAGCGCTTTACAACAAGACATTCTTTGGGAAATGTTTGCAAAGGCAGACTGCATGGCTAGGCGCTCGATTTTATACACCCATGTCAATGGAACTGGGAAGTGAAAAAATATGTGGCCTAATACTTTTGTCCACGTATCTCATGATGGTGAAGAGAGAACCCTGGTTCCACAAATGAACACTTTTAGGATGGGCTAAGACTGACATTTACTCACGTGTGATGTGTAATAAATTACTTTTTGGAGTAACGACACCAACACTTAACAAACACCCACATTTGTTGAGTTTATAGATTTGACAAGGTAACGTTTCTTTTTGTAAATGTATGTACAGTTTTGGTTTCAGACTCTTGTGCATCCGAACTTAGCTTCTAGTTTGTTTCTCTGTATTCTGTCAGAGAGAAAACAGCTTCCGAGGGTCTCGTGATGAAAATGTTTAAATGCATCTTCGCGGGCTTCACAACAGTTTGTGCTTGCGTGTGATGACTTTCTTGTGTAACTGCCAGCGTCTTCCTTGCCCGTCTCAGACAGACTGCGTGGCCTTTCTTGCTAACTGGTGCGGGCTGTGATGTAAATCTGCACTGGTCTGTCTCACCTTGGTGGATAACCAACAGTGAGGCTAACAGAGAGTCAATTAAGGTTGAACTATGACAGCACCGGTGTTCAGCTCACACTTGATGCAGCGTCCTTGTAATTAAACATGCCAGCAGCTACACGTGTGAAGTGCAGCCTGTCCAGACGGCTGTAACAAGGACACCTTAAGTCAATGCGCATGTGCGCTCTGGAATTATGGGTCGTTCTTTGCGTGCTTTAAAAAAATGCTTCGAGAAGAGTGTGCACGACTCTATTTCATCATCTGCCTGTGTGGTCTGTGGGTGTCTGATAGCCAAAACCTTTCTGTAATTGCAGTGGCGGCGCCTGAGGAGAGAGGGGGAGCGTGAATGTGTGTTAGACAGAGGTTTGACAAATGGACATTTGCAACCCTAATGGAGTGTGAGAACGCGATTCTAATTATATGCACTGCCCACCGTTAGTCCAACAGCCTCATTTCTGACCACGCATCCATGAAATCTGTGAGAAGACGCGGCAGCAGCATGGCCGCTGCGGTTGCATTTAATTGGACTAAACTGGATTCAAGGGCACCTTCCTGAGACCGCCTCCCGCCCGCCCTCCCTCCCTCCCTGTGTCCATCTCATATCAGCAGTCTGTCTTAATGTACGAAACTGTTTTTGTGGGAAACTTTTAAACACTTTCTTCTTCCTAATCCTCCTCCGCTGATTTTAGCAGATTTGACATGACACGACTGGTGCAACCTAAGGAGGGAAATCCTTTTATCAGCGCAGCCGGCCGTGATGAATGTGAAGACTGATGTGTGTAACGAATCAGGGGATGGTTGGGGGAATTTAGGAGCAGGAAGGAAAGGATGAAAGAAGGAAGGAAGCAGCATGAGTGGATGAACGAATTTGGAGGGTGGGGGGGTAAACAAGCAAAGTTTACGACAGAAAGAGGGCAGAGAAAGGAGGAAGGAAGGACGGAAAACTGGAAAGATGGATGGAAATGGAAGCTAGCAGCACATAGGAGACACTGTGGGGAAGTAATTAGTAAAAGGAGGATGAGAGAGTATAAAACAGAACACCAATCATCTTATGTTCTCTTTTTTCCGCGAGGCTCTTACAGATCCTGGTGCACGGCCAGCATGTGGGAAATTGCCACCAGCCATTATGAGAACGCCGGCCCATGTTGGCGAAGGAAGCCAGCTATTGTTTGGATCGATGTTTGCTAAAAATAAGTTTGGACAGGAGAAAATGCTGAATTGAGATGGATCCCCATCAGCCAGCATGGCCGCAGGACAAGAAAAGTTAATTTGTTAACTTGTTGTCGGTGCGCAGAGCGAGAGCTTTGTGCAAAAACCACTTTTAGAGTAACAGGACTCAAAGACAGGAAGAAGTTTTTACCTCAAACCACTCATTGTGTGCTTGATGGCGAACAGTGCAGGCACAGATTTTTAAAAGAGAGGAAGTTAGATACACAAGGGCAAACAGGCTATGTGAATCTATGTAGCGCTATAATGAATCCTGCACAGGTTGCAGCATTCATACTGTGCAGGCAGAGTCAATGGCAATGTGATGCTAATGCAGTCAGCCCCACCCACGTGCATGTTAATCAGAAAGGGCAACCAATCAGCAGAAAGCTGGCTATAAATGAAAGGAGGTTTTGATCTGAGGAGAGCACATGTATGAATACGTTTACTGTATTATCTTGAATTGTAAATAATGCAAGTCTACCAGCATCTAAGAGGGTAACATGGAACTGAAAGTGAATATAATCGATTTTTTTCTTTCCTCTAGTCCTTAAAAAGAGACGCCGTGTTTCAGATCGACGATGACCTGAAGGCTCAGTATAAGAAAATTAAGAATATTTATTATTCGCTGGGATTTTTTAGCTAATTGAAACTGTGTTGGGATACAATCATACATACAGTCACTTCTGCTGGCACCATTTTAATGAGGTTAGTATGGGAAGCTTCAAACTAGCCTGCTGGCCCTGTTTGGTGGAGTTCGTTAAAGTCGATTAGAAATGAATGAACAAAACTCCAAATGAGACAAATAACACACATTAAAAAAACTGTCATTTTCATAACGAAGAGAGTGATTAATTAATTATTCTTTTAATCGCTGAAAGCTACTAAAGAAAAAAAATACAAATGAATAAAAAGATGAAAATGCTTCTTCTCACAGCAAAGTTCAGGACGAGTTCAGTAAATCTTTCAGCCTCAGGAACAAGTTTGGTGGTACAGCAGCAGATACTTGTGTTTATCTGCCAGATGGCAGCGTGGTAAACAGGCTGTGGATGGAGTGGGTGTCGTCTTTAAATATCTTTCAGAAATTTATAAAAATAGCAGCCTAGTTTCATTCCTGGGAATCTTGAGAATGGAGGTCAAAGCAAATAGATGCAGTTGGTGGTTGAAAAGTTTTTTCTCATCTTTGTGAAGAAAAAACACAAAAATTCCACTTTTAGTGGCTTTTTGGTTTTTAAAAAATGCTGAGATCCTTTCTGATTCAAAGGCACGTTTCAGAAAAATATGTCATATTGTACATTACGTTGCACTTACACATGTAAGCAAGCAACCAAAAATTGCAGATACTAATTCTGCAGAAATCAAGCTAGAAGTGGGTCCATAAATTGCAACAGATAGTTTAGGTAAAATGTTTAATTGTGGTTTAACAGGGTCTGAACTCCTGACTCTTTGGCTTTCTTGACTCGTCAGACTTATTCTTACCTCGAGACCCTGGTGTGGTGAGATCTCATGCCAAAATGCAGAAAATAACATCCCAGTTGTATTAAACCCAACATAACCCCATAAACTCCTGCTTCGGTGGACACACAGTACCTCTCCGTCTTTGGACTCCAGTCGCAGCTCGCTCCTGCAGATGGCCTGGATGTCTCCGGCCTCAGCCAGGATCTGGATTCCCTTCGGGGCCTCCATCAGCAGAGAGCGGGTGGGAGACTCCAGCCTGGAAACATACAGAGGCAGCAGCTTACAAACGGCAGGTACAACGTTCAGGGTGAGGGGCTGAAGTGAACTCTAACAGGGTAAGGAAGAGCACCGATTCATGTATGATGGGTGGTGAATAGTTTACATGATACATATGGCACAGGAGCCTTCAAGGTTTACATGGAAACCAAGCACCAAGTTAACAGATGTATCAGAAAATAAAGGTTAAATTCAGCAGTTGTATAAGTTCTATTAGTAAATACACCCACAGCCAGTGCTCATCAGTATCAGACTGAAAGTGGAAACTTTATAAAAACTCGATTCACGTCAAACTAACATATTTATGTAAGGGAATCTGCTCATTAGACTACTGCATTACAGACATTTACAGCATTACTTTTACCAGTAAATATTTGTTTCTATGAATAAACAGTTGTATAGGATTATGTGAAGGCCGTTTTGGGTACGTGGAGCATCTGTTCAGCTAACAGAAAAACCAAATGAATGGATTATCCACTTCTATTTGTGAATGACAGTGGAGGTTCCAGACCTCTGAATCGCTGCTAATATGTCTTCAATTCCTTCAATGATCTTAAATTATACCAACATTTGTTTTATACCTAATTCACCAAGACGTCAACAATTTGTAGTTAGGATAAGCCACAGGTTTCAAGATGTCCAGAAAAGTTACAAATTGGGAAAAAAGTTGAAAGTGGATGTAGAGTACTGTGCTATCTCTATATTTTGCTTCCAAGTGTTGAGTGAGCAACAGTGGTCAAGCCAAATATTGACTTTCAAGCTTGTTAGAATTGTACAAGCTCTGCTTTTGCCTTTTATCCTCTATTTCCATCTGTGTTTGCACACGTTTCATGTTTTTCTAGCTAAATATTTAAAACATGAGGGCTAAATCAAGACTTGTGCGCACAGTACTCTATTACCCATTTTTATGTCTTTGCGGTTCCTCCACAGTGACCTGAACTTACGTGTAATGAAAAAACAAAAACAGTCTGAAGAATTGAAGAAAAACGTGAGAACAGCCACTCTGAAACCAGTGCTGTGAATGGAGCACAAAGTAAGTGGATCTGACACTCGAACACTACGGCCCCTCTCTGCATGCTGTGGCTGTTCAAAATTTCTGCATGAGGATTAAAAAAAAATCAGCCCACTCGGCTTCACATCTTGACAAAACCACTCAGAGGCACAAGCCGATCTCTACAGGAAGCTGCAGAGATGTCAGAACGCCTCACGACAGTCAAACCTAAACAGGAGCGCTCTGTACACTTCCTGTCTTCCTGTCACCACACTGGTTGTGGATAAAATACGTGATGTTTTTTTTTCCACATGGAAGGTTTTAGCTGATACCACAACGAGAGAATTCGAGGTTTTGTTCTGAATGAAGCGTAGCTAACGAATACTTGGATTCTTTGCAGTCAGCGACTGCCTGAAGTGTACAAATGATGGACATCACCAAATGTTGAGTTTCCTCGCTTGATGTTCTCCGTCAGGCTTTGACTGTAGTCACCCACAGTTGTTCCCTGTTTGTGGGTCTCTCTGCATTCTGTTTGCTATTTAATAATGCAAAACCTGCTCTGCTGGATACGAATCAGATGACAAACGTGACAATCGAAGAATATCCCATTTCTTTGCATTGAGAAACTCATGGATTGGATCTTTTGACACAAAAGAATCCAAAACCATGGATCTTTAGCAGTTTGTTTTGGGTCGTTATTTGCTGTCTGATCAGGTTTGCTCTGTTTTCTGAGTCTGAGCAGAGAGAACAGCTCTGTACACATCAGAAGTCATCCTGTTTCTATCAGCAGTTCCACTGGCAGCCACACATACAAACTAAATCCACCGTAACTAACAGGTGATGCAGTATACTGAGAATGTGAGTGTTTCTCTCCTACTTCATATTTTTTCACCTTGGTTTCATCTGTCCAAAGATTTTTTCCAGAACTTTTCTGAAACAGGTTCTTTTACAGGTTATCTTTGGAAAGTGTCATCTGTCCTTAAAACCAGTGGTTTGTGTTGTGAATCTTCTGTGTTCATGAGGGCGTCTCATTTATCCATAACAATGATAGGCCCACCTCTTTGAGTGTTCTTAACTTGGTTAAATGTTGTGAATGCGTTTTTGTTGGAAACAACGTTGTTATTGAGTTTAGCTGCCGTCTTTGGTCTTTCAGGCCTTTTGATGTGGCTGGAGAGTTTATTATAAGCAGCTGCAACAACCACCTTGGGTTGGTTGTTGGGAGGCAACCTGTTTCCAAACAATTGTGATCCAATTCAGGCTGGTAACATATTAAAAAATTCATTTATCATCTATAAATTATACACAGACTGCAAACACAACCCAGCTAACGTAATCTCTAGCAGAGTCAGTCTGTGCCGATGAGCACAACTCAACTGCAACAGAGCTCTTGGGAACAGGGTCTCGTTTCAATTGGTAGCATCTAGTTGTGTTGTGGTATTCCTGTATAAATGCAAGAATGCAGCGTGCCTATGTATAACTCTTCAGGTAAATTACTATCCTGCAGCAACTACATTTCCGAATATTGTATACTGAATATGATTCAGACAGTAACAGAATTGCAAATTTTGCAAAGTTATCATAAACAGATTGCATGTAATTGCCAAACTGACCTCATTCAATTGCAAACCGATGAGAGCGACAGCTGTTGGCTCCGCCTACTTAGGTCAAGGTCAAGGTTCTTTATTTGTCACATGCATAGTTATACAAGTATAACACACAGTGAAATGTAGCCTGACACGCT